GTGTGTGTGTGTGTGTGTGTGTGTGTGTGTGTGTAAGGACCTTCTTTCATGTTGACTAAGCTCCTCCACATCACATCAGGCATTGTCGGCTGGCATCCGGGGCTGGTCACAACTTCACTCTCTCACTGACTCATGTCGCTTTCTCAACAGGTTGTGGTGACACTCACTCCAACGCCCTACTTTAAGTCTGGGAGTTGAATGAACTCAATAACTACACTTGAACGAGAGGAATTAGAAGTTGAGGTGTGCATGGCACTCCTCAACTTCCACCTCTTAATATTCCAGCATCGATGAGAAGTGAAGACAGTGGATGACCTTGAAGCATCAGATCTGATTTGTTGAAGGGATGTTGAAGTGCTAATTTCTGTTGATTAATTTTTACGCCAAAATGACAAATTCTACATACCCTATTGGAAGTAAATAGACACAATTCATTGTCATTATTCCCTTGACTGACACAGAATTTAGCCATCCTCCTTTATAGCCTGTAAAATGTCATTATAAAAGTGCCTCTACAAATTACACCACGTCGTTACACTTAGCCAGAGCCTTGAAGTTGGTCGAGGAGTGTCTACTTGTCAGCCACATCCACCTGCCAAAATGCCATTTCTATCAAAGGGCGTCGGTTGGGGTCTAAGAAGAGGAGGAGGTGGTGGTGGTGGTGGTGGAAGAGGAGAGGGAAGGAGGACTTCAAAAGGTGACACTATCAAAGGCAAGTCAACCCATCCATTGGACTTCCAGACATAAATATTATTTCCAAAATAACTAGTCTTAGACTTAGAAATTCCTTTATTGGGAATCAAGGGATTGTGGGGAGTGGAGAGGGCGATTGGTAGGGTGTTCAAAGACCCTGGGAGGTCACAACATTTCTATTTAAAATTTTTTTTTTTTGCCTGCATGCCTGTTCAATTCGCCTTTCTTTTTGGATAAGCCGATACTTTGCCCATTATGCCTACACTAATAATGGAGGATTAGGAGTTTCCCCTCCTGCCGTCTCCTCTCCCTCCCCCCTACCCCACCACTACCGCCATCCTCCTCCTCCTCCTCCTCCTCCTCCACCCTCCCGCCCCACATCTCCCCCCTTTTAGACACGAGATCAAAGAGCGGCCGATTTTCACTGAAGTGTGGCCTTACATATGGGGAAGAGGTTTGCTATCCTCTGATGAGTGAAGAGAATGCATTATTTTGATGCAGAATAGTCAATTCAACAAAACAGACCTTCCCACTTTTTTTTTTTCACCTGCAAATTTGAGGTAAAATTATGTGTTACTGTGGCCTATGGGGTAGTTTGGAGGAGGTGATGTGTCGGAGGTGAGAGTTGATGACTGCTGTAGAAGGCAGTGTTTTGTATATTTTTTTTGTTTTTAAAACTCCTTTAGATGAGGTAAGCAAACCGCCCTTTAAAACAATGCAACCTACTCAACAATAGTGTAGGGTCTTAAAATTTTTTTTTAATGCTTTCTCATTTTCATAGCATGGCAGCATGTTTACATCGTCCCCAACTTCTTTCCCACTTTTGTTCTAGCATTGATTGTATAAGGGAATGGAAGCCATTGGATGGAGGCTTGCTATGGAGGCATTAATTGCTGCTCAAAAAGAGTCAAATTGCCACGGCCACCCACTTAGCTTAGATGGGCGATAGGTCGATGGAACGGCTGAATATAACTGAATCGCCACCAAAGGAGGTCCGCATGTCGTTGATTCTAAAAGTGGATCATACACTCACTGCTCCTTTGCCTCCTCCTCCTCCTCCTTTGCCTCCTCCTCCTCCTCCTCCTTTGCCTCCTCCTCCTCCTCCTCCTTTGCCTCCTCC